GGCTGTTTGGTGCCTCTCACAACAATGTCTCCTTTGGTTCCCAGGCCAAGTATCCTTGGAGGCTCGTTTATTCCAGTTTGGCACCTCTAATTCTTGTCAACATATTTCCCCTCCTGCCTTTTCTCCTTCCCAGGCCCACATGTTACTGCACCGGATTCCTCCCGCTCCCTTGCAATTTATGGCAGGATGCCAGCTAAGTGAAGAAGCCGAATATGGCAGACCTGACATGCATGAACAATTTCTGCAATATTCCATGTTGAATCATAAAATAACAGAGTTGGAAGGGACCTTGGAGGTCATCTAGTCCAAACCCCTGCTCAAGCAGGAGACCCTCTACTAGTCCAGACAAATGGCTGCCCAGTCTCTTCTTAAAGACTTTCAGTGTTGGAGCACGAAGGGCTGAGAGCCGAGATGGAACGATCTCTGCAATGGTGCCCTCTGATGCCCTTCAGCAAATCCCTCTTCTGCTTGTGGGTCTGGCAGCCGTCCCTCCACCCACTCTTGGGGCTGTTTCTTTGATAATCCCTAACACTGCAAACACAAAGTATTTCATATATGCTATATAAAGCCAAACAAATGTCTTTTTCATAGAAACATATTCTTCAGCTTTTCAAGCTCAAGCACAATCCATGTTTAGTGGATGCACTCAATATCAGTTTGAAAAACAATTCTCTTTTCTACTAATTTTTGCAGTCAAGTATTTAAGGGAAAATAAAAATGAGGAGGAAGCTTGCCATGCTATCTAGTGTATAAGATGCTCAAAAAATAGTTGCAGAGGTACATTTTAAGTGCATGTGATATTTAGCATTGCTTTCATGCTTATGCAGAGAGAGTACTGCCTTCTTAGGACCACAGTATGTTGTACCATCATAGAACTACAGAATCAGAAGATATCTCAGAGGTCATCTAGTCCAACCCATGCTCAGTGAAGAATTTCATACAGTATTTTGAATAGGTGGCTATCCAGTCTCTCTTGGAAAAGCTGGAACAAAAACATGAGACAGCTTCTTTCTCCTTTCATCCATTGGTAGCAATTACCATCAGGAAATTTATCCTAATATCTACCCTAAATCTGTTTCCTTGTGGTTTCAACCCACTGGTTCAGCTTCTTCTCTTGAAAATGATGGAGAACAATAACAGAGAACTTGAGTTTAGCAGCATGAAATTTAAAAAAAAGCCCCTTTGGGGAAAAGAAAAAAAGAAAAAAAAACAAAATATATCTTTACCAATATAAGAATACATTCCCAATATGCTGTCTGATCTTGCTAGACTCAAAACTAAGCTGTAAAATTGAATTTGAACCTTTCATGTCTCTACTGGGCACATTTGCAAAAGTACTGTTAAATTGTTCTGCAGCAAGGAGAGATTTTTTTAAAAATGTATTTTACAAAATTGAAAAAGGCTAACTCGAATGGACTAACTTCAGTACCTTCTTTGGCTATTTCAGCTAACAAGAGTGAGTTGAACTATCATAAATTCTTATGGTGGACCAACATTATGGGATGGGGTAATTGTGTGGAACTGGGCTATATATTAGCATTTTATACTTACGACCATAACTAAGCCCAAAATTTCTGTTGTTAAGTGAGACATTTGTTAAGTGAATTTTGCCCCATTTTACGACATTTCTTGCCACAGTTGTGAAGTGAATCGCTGTAGTTGATAAGTTAGTAACACAGTTGTTAAGTGAATCTGGCTTCCCCATTGACTTTGCTTGTCTGAAGATTAGGAAAGGTGATCACATGACCCTGGGACGCTGCAACCGTCATAAGTATGAACCAATTGCCAAGCGTCTGAATTTTGATCACATGATCACGGGGATGCTGAAAAGGTTGTAACTGTGAAAAACGGTCATGTCTCTTTTTTCAGTGCTGTTGTAAATTTGAATGGTCGCTAAATGAACCGTTGTAAGTCGAAGCCTACCTGTATTGGGGAGGGGGCTGAGAGAGAGGGGAAGAAACATTTTAGAGCAATTCATGATCTGCAGCACTTGTAGAGACCCATCCATGGATCTTCCCCCTCAGCAAATCTCATTGCAAGACCATCTATTCTGTGCAACTACCATTAAATTTTAGGGGGACATTTATCTTTATCTGACTCTACCAGATTCATTTTTGCATTTCTGCAAAAACAGCAGGCAAATGAACGGTCTTCCCAATTAACTGCATTTTTCCATTTTTCTTTGGGATAGACTACGAGGGGCAAGCTAGAGCTTGCTGTTCATGTTTACTTATGAATGTATTGATCATTTTTCTGTGCAAATAAAACATCTTCAAAGAGACAAGTAAAGACATCATAAATCAATTGAAACCTGTAATAAAAACACACCAATAAAGGAATCAATACACAGAGAGATAAAAAAAATGCACAGTAGAAATAATACTTATGCAATCCTACTTCATAAATCAGCATCTGTAGCATTTTTCAGCCTGGTACTATTTCATGTTGACTTGGTATGTCTTGGGAACTTTAAACCAACCTTCAGGTTGGGAAAACTGCTATCAATCACGAGCATTTGAGATCGAACTAAAAATGGTTTAAAACAAGTTATTTAGCTGACCACCTCAGACAGAGATTTTCAGATTGTTGAGGTCAGGTAAGAAAAAAAAATATCACTTACCTGTAGATGACCTTCACTGAGTCTTTTGAGAAGACAATTAGGTTGGAATGACCAGGTCTATGACAGAGATAAAGCACAGATAAAATATGTCAATTTCAGCAGTTGGAGAGACAGAAATGGAATGTTTTCCCTACTCTTTCCAGGTTTTAAAATGCCTTAAGATGCTAAATTGGTTCGTGAAATTGAGTCACAATTGAGTCCAACATTTCTGTTGCTAAATGAGACATTGGTTAAGTGAATTTTGTCCCATTTTACGATCTTTCTTGCCCCCGTTGTTAAGTGAATCATTGCACTTGTCAAGTTAGCAACACAGTTGTTAAGTGAATCTGGCTTCTCCATTGACTTTGCTTGTCAGAAGGTCACCAAAGGGGATCACAGGACCCCGGAACACTGCAACCGTCATAAATATGAGTCAGTTGACAAGTGTCTGAACTTTGGTCACATAACTATAGGGATACTGCAATGGGCTGTAAGTGTGAAAAATGGTCATAATCCATTTTTTTCAGTGCCGTTGTAACTTTCAACAGTCATTAAATGAACTGTTGCAAGTCGAGGATTAGCTGTGGTTTGCTGATAATGATACATTATCCTCTTTGCGGCTCTCTGCTTCCTTATAACCTAACACTTTGTCTTGATTTTTCCCCCTCTTTTTTCTTTTCTCTCATGCTTCCTAGAGGACTATCTGGAGGACAATGCAACATGGTGTAAGCTCTGGTATTCTTATTCTTGATTTTCATACCATTAACATATTGCTGATTTTGCTGACAAATGATGTCTAATATTATCTACATAGCAATCTTTTGTTCTCCTTGCAAAATAATCTGATTTACTGTATAGATTGCTTTGGCACACTAATACTTTGATTGAGCCATTCACATTCTTATTACTGTCTCTTTTTAGATATGCTGAGAATTGGTCATATAATTATTATGGTTGGAACTGGCATTTTTATCCACTTATTGAGTCCTTCCCAAGGACTTGGGATAGGCAGCTGTTGTTGTTTGAAAGGCATCGTCTCAGGATACCTTTTATGATGATGTTTATTACGTACACAACATGTGAAATTAGGTGCCAGTTTTTTAGCTAGTGTTGGCTTTCATATGCATCAAGTTCTTCCCAAGAACCTGGGAGGGCGTAATGTATCAGTGAAGTATATATATGGATCCAAGGGGTACAGCCTTTTGCAAATGTACAGATTTTCTAAGGGCAGTCCAACATTTTTTGATATGACACCCACTATGCCAATAATCACTGGCATCACCACAGCTGGTTTACGGTATAATCTTTCAACTTCAGTTTGGGAATCCCACAATATTTAATTTATTATTATTATTATTATTTTATTATTATTTCCAAGTCAGAATACTATAGTCCAGTGATGGCGAACCTTTTAGAGACCGAGTGCCCAAACTGCAACCCAAAACCCACTTATTTATCGCAAAGTGCCAGGGCTGCATCAGCATTGTGGTGCCCTCAGAGGGTATGGGGGGCATAGCCCACTGGGTGGGCGTGGCTGCAGCGGTCACGGCAGATTGGGTGAGCATGCAGGGGCCAGTCCCTCGCCATCTCCGGAGCATCCCCGGGGGGCCAATGCCGCTTGCTCGCTCACTTCCTGCCCTATCGCTTCCAAACACCACATGCTACTCTGGTGAACTCTGCTGGGGCAACGGTGCGGGTGCCCACAGAGAGGGCTCTGAGTGCCGCCTCTGGCACGCGGACCATAGGTTCGCCACCACCGCTATAGTTGTTAAGCTGTTGGAGAAAGATTTTAATTCCAGTTCTGTCCCATTGGCTATGGAATCTTCCTTGAGAATACTGACTTCTTTCTCAGTCTGACTTACGTCACACAGATGGTCAGTTGATCAGTCAAGGGAGATGTCTTATTGATGGGAGAGAAATCTTTGAATCTTGTTAAAAGAAGCAAGTAAGGGACTGAAGTCATAAGAAGGTGCATTTGGCCACCATTTTGATGGGTAAATTCTTTCAGGAACTTTTTTTTTTTTATTAAATATTAAATTGAATGATTAATTTCTCACATTATCACCACAGCTGAGGCACAGAATATTAGTGCACTCCCAAAACATAGCTTGATGATTTAGGGCAAAAAGAAAAGAAGAAACATGAAACAATACTTGCTGTAAGGCCCCACCTCAATTTTACATTTTAAGAAGACAGAACTGTTGGAATGTCTCTTCCAACAGGGATCTTTATTAAGAGAAGCTGATTGCAGGCATGCTAGACAGGATCTGGGGAATCTCTCCCACCATTCAATGTTTTAAAGTGTTCCCAAGCAGCCCCCACTCCACAGTTCTTCCGGGCGATTCAATCCATCAGTCCGCTCCGTCGGCACGATCACTCATCCTCTTTTCCCAGAACCCAGGCGTTGTATTTCCCACCCCCTTTTCCTCACTGCCGGCAAAGGGGAGTGAGATGAAAGGCGATGGCCACATTGTTATGGTTAGTTCTCTCGATGAGAATCCACAAACGGTCACTTTGTAGTTTAATGAAGGAAGTGAGAGTCATAAACCCCCCATGCTTACCCTCCTTCCTTTTTGTAGTATGACAGAATCCAGAATAGAGTAAGAATTGGTTTTTCATCAGAGTAGGTAGATAGAAATGAAATATAATTGGATTCTGACACTTGCATTATTTTTAAGGTTTCCTGGAAGTATTTGATTGGTCTCTGTCAAAAACAGGACTTTCTATTTCATCTCTTTTCTACTCTTTCTTTATTTCCGATTTTATTTTGTTTCATCTGTTAGTATCGTAAAATTTTTCAATAGTGAGTGTTTTAAAAAAGAAAGAAAGAAAGAAACAAGATCTTGGAGTTAGGCAGAATTTGTTGTGTCCAGTAGGATGTTTAGGAGTAAAACACATTTTTTTCATATCTGGGGTTGGTTTGAAGGAAATTTGCAAGAATGTCTGACTCAAGGTACTTATGAGCATAGAAAGAAAACGATTCCAGATCTGAATGTGTGATTATAACTTGAGGTTCTTTAACTCAAAACAAATTCCCGTTGTTGCATTCTAAATATTTTTTCTACCAGATGCTATCTGGGGATCTTGATATTCTAGATAAAAAAGGGCAGAATAGGATGAGTATATGCTTTCTCCAGCTGCCAAATCATTTCTTTCATGAAGTAGCTATGGCATATTATTTTAAAGTGAGCATTGGCATAATTCTAGAATAGCTTTTCCTGCAACTCCCCATTTGATTTCTGTAGGAGGAAGTAAAATTAAGGAGAGGGACACTAAGCCTATGAAGATCCAAAGAGTGGCAAGATTGAGAAATTGCTTTACCCTGTGACTTAACTGTCCACTACGAGGTTTTCTCCAACATATCGTTTTTGCATTTTGGAGAATGATGAAAAATATGTTTATGCATTTTTGTGTGTTTCCTATATATGAAAAGCTATTTCCCATTACTTCATCTAAGCCACTTTTTCCTGGATACTGCTTCCCCTGTGTTATCAAGGGTATTCAAATTTCTTCCTTCTGTAGCTTGATCCAGGCCCAGGAAAATATAACATGTCATCTGGCTAGATTTATATAGCCAGATGATTTTCATTAGCAGAACAACAGAGGAACTGATGGTTCTTAATTTTTAAGCCTGATTTAATTGGTGTCAGAATCCAGAATTTCTTTTCCAATTATTAGATTTAAATTTGATTTCTCTTCTCTTTTTTTCTTTCTCTTACCCTCATTGTGGAGTTTTTATTTTATTTATTTGTTTAAATGGTTCTTGGGAATTCTTGGAGAAATGGCTGTACATTTATTTTATAGCAGGAATTCCTCTAAAGGCATCCTCTCTTTGAAGAGATGTCCTGATCAAACTGCATTAAAATAAAAGGGAGAAAGGCCCTCTAAACTGTTCCATCCATGTAGAATCTTTTTGTTTACTTTCCAATAGAGCAATTATTTCTAAGTTTGCAGCTACAAATCCAAACCAAGGCTGCAAACATAACCTTTTGGCTACTTTCATGAGACTTTTTCTGCAAAGCCATTTTCAGCTTTTTGATTTTAGGAAATGCAGTCCTGTGAGGAGATAGCACAGAAAATGCATTGCTGTGGATTTTGCCTTTGACAGGCATAGTTTATTGCAAATGAAAAGCTAGCTCCCAAGCTAAACATCTATCCTCAAATATCCTTCTAGTTTGCTTGTAATGGACATTTGGACTCTTTGTGGACATCTAAATTATGTATGGGCATGTGCCATAAATAACACAAAATAAATTTATTAAAGATGGAAGGAAGGAAGGAAGGAAGGAAGGAAGGAAGGAAGGAAGGAAGGAAGGAAGGAAGGAAGGAAGGAAGGAAGGAAGGAAGGAAGGAAGGAAGGAAGGAAGGAAGGAAGGAAGGAAGGAAGGAAGGAATAACAGAACAGAATCACAGAGTTGGAAGGGACCTTGGAGGTCTTCTAGTCCAACCCCTACACAAGCAAGAGACCCTATACCATTCTGGACAAATGGCTGTCCAATCTCTTCTTAAAAACTCCCAGTGATGGAGCACTGAGAACTTCTGAACACAAGCTGTTCTACCGGTTAATTGTTCTCACAGTCAGGAAATTTCTCCTTAGTTCTGGGAGTTCTTAGTTCTCCCTTTGGTGTCTGCTGTAGCTAATGTAGAAGTAGATCTTAAATGTAAATGAGGATGCCCTCTAGTCTAGATATAGTTTGTAATCCACAGTTATATTTAAAAAATAACAACAGATGAATAAAAGCTGAAAAGAAAAAGAAAATCTCAGCTGAGAGTAAAAATGAAATATCAGCTTATAGTTTTGTTTTGTTTTTTCAATATAAAATTTTATTATTTTTCAACATAAAAAAAAATTTTTTTTTCACAAATACTACACAATGCTATATGAAAAACCCCCCACCCCCACCCCCGGACTTCCCAAACCTAATCCCAGGATAATATTCAGATATAATTAAACAAGTATTAGCATCTCTAACTCCACAAAGTATATTATTCTATATGAGTAGGTAAAATATATAAAAGAAAAGAAGAGGTTTTCTAAAAACCTAAATTATATTCCACCACTCTATGCTTCCTTTGAATATAAACAATCCATCTTCTCCATATTAATAAAAATTGTTCATTTGAATGGTTCTTCAAATAAGCCGAAATCTTTGCCATCTCAGCAAGGTACGAAACTTTCAATCTCCAGTCTTCCATTGTGGGTAAAATTTTACTCTTCCAGTTTTGAGCTATCAACAAACGGGCAGCAGTTAAGCAATATAACATCAAGTTCGTTTCTTTTACATCCAAATTTTGTGTAATACCTAGGAGAAACAACTGAGGCAAGAAAGTAATTCTTCTTTAAAAAATTTGCTGTAAATTCCACCACAATTTTATCCAAAAGGCCTTAATAACCTTGCAGGTCCACCACATATGAAAAAAAGTTGCATCTTGTTGTCCACACCTCCAACACTTGGATTCATAATTCTCATAAATGCGAGACATAGTTGCAGGATCCATGTGCCATCTGTAAAACATTTTATAAAAATTCTCACGTAGATTTTGGGCTTGCGTAAACTTCACATTTCTCACCCAAATCAACTCCCAAGTATCCATAGATATTGTTTCTCCTATATTTTGGGCCCATTTAATCATACAATCTTTAACTAACTCAGTTTCTGAGTCCAATTCTAATAAAACATTATATATCCTTCTAATGTGTCCTTTAGCACCGTCTCTTACTTGT